TTCTGGACTGGAAAAGTAAAGGAATCCTATACCTGGAACACATATATGAAGAATTGGACTTCATCCCATTTAATAGAATAGTCTCTCAATTTGGAATAGATAAGAATAGCTTTTTAGAATATCACCAAATTAAATCTGTAGTCAAACAAAAATTTAAGCTCAATAAAATAGAATTACAAACACCACCAAGGGTATTAAACTTCTATAATCTCAAACCCCCCCAAACTACTGTCTAAAGTATATAAGACACTGTCCAAAATAGATGATAGAATAGCAATCCCTATTGAAAAATGGGAGGTGGATTTATCAGTCAGCTTTGACCAGAACTTCTGGTCCCAAATTGTTAAAAACTTTTAAAATGATCAGACACCCCAATTTACAATTAATTCAGTACCAAATTCTACACAGAGGACACTATACAGGTCATCGGATGTTCAAGATGGGGTTTGTGTTATATGACACCTGTACACACTGCACAAACAACATTTCTGAAAATTACATCCATGCACTGTGGTCCTGTCCACCTGTCCAGGAATTTTTGTATGTGAAGACCTGTCAAAGTGTCTGAAATGTCATATCCCAACTTTCCCCTCTCTTTGTTTACTGGGAAACCTGGACGATGTCCCGATTGAAACATCTTTGGTTCATGTGGTTCTGACTGCCATATGCATCGCTAAGAAAACTATCCTCTTGAATTGGAAAAATAGAGATACTCTTTGCATTAACCAGTATAGAAATATTTTGCTAGATAATATTGCACTTGATACAGCCTCTGCTTTCACTTCAAATCAATCTCTCTGGGCTCCTTTGATTGGTTCCATCACATAGCGATGATGGGGGATCATTGATGTTGTCCTGCGGGATGATGTGGGTGATGGGGTAGAGGGCCTGAGCTTGGAGTATCCGGACGCTCCCTGGAGGTGGGTTCACTGGAGGTGTCTGGGACTGGGAGGCTGCTGCCCCCCTCTGGAGGTGCTTGGGTTGCCTCGGGGGGTGGACTACTGGCGATTGAGAGTGGGGCCCCTTGAGGGTCTTGACAGTGGCTATGGGTCACTGCCTGGCAGCTGCATTGCCCCTGAGAGGGTCTGGGTTGGGGCCTGGGGGCTCGGGGTGTGGGGGTTGCCGGCCCCATGTGGGGATCTGGGCGGGGCCTTGGGGGTCGGGTCCTGACATGTGTGCTGCCGGGAAGAAGGCAGGAACATGCAGCAGTGCCTGGCCCTGGCTCAGAGGCCTCGGGTAGACCTTAGCAACTCTGCTGTTCCATCACAGGGGAGGGGGATGTCCAGGAGGGGGAGGAGGACCCAACCTTACCTGGATGTCCTATGTCTTATATATTCTGGAAGTTGTGCAAATGCTGGGATGGGAGTAGATATTCTGCTGGGGTGTGGCTGGGTTGGTGCCCTCGGACTCTGTGAGGCTCTGTGATGCTGCTGCTTTGGGCCCTGGTGGGATGGGCTGGAGTCTCCATGCCCCGGGTGGCATTTTGGCAATAGAGGTGCCTATTGGGGCCAGTGGGGGAGCTGGCTCCCTGGAGGGCTTTAGTCCAACCAGCCATTCTTCCCCATCCCCACACATTTTTCTCCTCCTCCTCCTCCCTCACATCATCACACAATCATGCACATAGGACCTTGGGGGATGGACAAGTCAGGGGGTGCAGGTATGGACCCCATTTCCCGCATTCTTGTGGCAACCTGCCCCCCAATTTTATTTGCACTTTAAACACGTCCACCAATGACATTCCACGCAAACACACACTTAGGGCCTTGGGAGTGAGCACATTCAACTGCATTCGGCAGAGGGATTTTTCAGCCTCATCCCGAGTGCCGTTGCCCACTTCCAATTTTAAACTGCACGTAGACACTGAGGGTTGTGGGTGCAAGTGGGGTAGTGTGGTGGTATCAGCTGGCGTAGGCCAGACAATGCCTGCTTACCACAGCCATGGAATACACCTCATCAACATGCACTAACACTATATTGGAGCAGGTGGAGGGAGACTAGGGGTCTTAGCACACGTCTGTTATCACTTGGCTTCCTGGGGCTGGAGACTAGGAGGGAAATCTGGCTGTCTGGTTGGGGTCTAGGGTGGTGGGTTGCTTTGCTCAGCGTTGGGCGGGGAAGCCTGCTCATCAGCACCCCAGCAGAAAGGGTCAAACTCTGGGAACCGGTAATGGTTGTACCCCATGTGCAGCAGTACCGGGACCAGAGTGGATAGGGTGTGTATGGGGAACATGAGTGGGTGTCCGGCGTGCATTTTTGTAAGTCTTTGGTTGTATATTTGAGCATGAGGGAGGGAGTGTGTGACTGTGTCTGTGTATGACTGTATATGTCAGGTGGGGCCTTTGACTCCTCCCTTCTCCTGGGACATCTTTTGATGCTATTCATCTTCGTCTCCCCTCCCCCTGCCACACCTGGTGTGGAGTGTGGTGCCTTGGTATGTCTGAGTGTTCATGGCTCCCGGATCAGGGGGTTTAAGATTTTTGGCATCTGCCTGATCAATCCCGGTGGCTGCCTGGTGGGATCTCGGTCCCTGGGCTCTGCTGGGTCCCCGGTGGGGGTGGTTGCCCCTGGGTCCTGGGTTGCTGGGCCCTGGGCTCAGCCGGCTGGGGGGTGGGAGGCTGCGGGCAGGCCTGTGGGCTTGCCACTGATATCTCCCGGGACTCTGCCGGCTACTGGTTGTTGCCCCCCGAGGCGATCCTCTGCGCCTCTCGAGGGGGGCAGGGGCTTTTCTGGTTGCGGTCTCTTTGGAGTCCCTGTGCTCTGGGGCAGCTCCTGGATCTCTGGGACTTGGAGCTCCCTCCATCTCCTGTGTGTCTTTGGGGGGCAGATCTGTGGCCCCTCACACTCTATTGGATGCTCCTATAGAAAAACCTTACATATACAAGAGCGTGTACGCACACAGGTGCTGACAAGGTGCTCTCATAAGTATGGACTTGGGCATGTTCAACACATGTCTTAAGGCTGTGGTTGGCACTAAATGCACTGTGATTTATTATCTTGTGATTGTTCAGTAAAACAATGCTGATTTTATATTTCCTCATCAGGTTGACGCAGTGATAGCTTGCCCCTGTTGTATTGTTGTGTGTCCCTTTTCTGCAGGTCTAGAAGCAGACTCTTGTTCATCATTGATTGCTTATTTTTGCGGACCCCCCCCCCCCCTCATCTTTTGTCTCTTCCTTTCTCTTTCACCTCTCTCCGTGTCCAGTCGAAATTACAAAGCATTCAAAAGACAATAACAATAAAGTTTTAAGTATCAGGCGCAGCATTAAAAGCAGATGCTTTGATGCTCCACCTGAGAGTAAAATGTGTAAGGATTGTCACCAGCATTCAGACATTTGTTTGCTTCACAGCCAGACAGGACACGGGGGGGTGGGGGGTGGGGTGGGGGGTGGGGGGTTGGGGGTGGGGGGTTGGGGGTTGGGATTACTTAGGGAAATAGTTATAGGTTTTTGTTTGTCATGGGTTCACTTGGAAGAATGAACGTGCATCTGATTAGAAACGAGGGAGGAGGGGAGGGCAGGTAGAGGGTGAAAAGAGATGCTAAAGGTCTCTGTTAAAGATTTACATGCTCCATCAAGCAGACTGCTGGGGCGTAAAAAGTGACATGGTCTGTTCCTTCAACCTGCCTGACCCCAATCTCCACTTTGCACCAGGTCTCTGTGCTGCCTGACCACCCAGTGGAGCTCCTCCTCCTCCTCCTCTGACCCCTCCCATCTCACAGCTCAACAAAATAAGGTGCCTTTGACCTCATTTTCACTGTCCTGCAGCAGGGTCTGGGTCCTTTTAATTGACATGTCAGTGTTATAATGTAGTGTATTTACATATCACGTTTGTTTGTCCCACTGAGTCCAGCTTATTTTTCTGGCATTGGTAGGAAGATCAGACATTGTTCTGTTTTTGCGGCATCATCATGTGTGAAGACACAAATGGACAACAAGTACCAAAATTGTTTCTGTGAGCCCTCAAATTGATATGAAAAAAAATTGCACATGTAAGCATCCCTATTTATGTTTTATCTTGGTTAGTATGATTTAGACTGCTGTATAAAACATGCTTTATGTAAAGAAATAAAAAACCTTAACTGCTAAATGTGTAAAACTGATCTATTTATTCCCCCTCATGTGTTTGTGCCTCATCTATCTGAAGATGACCAGAAGTGGGCACTAGAGGGCACTGATGCTACATTATTGCACACCTACAGCCACATGCAGTGATTGTGCAAGAGAAGAACATACTTTTCGTATGTAGGGTCCTTGTCGTTTCCCAAATCTTCTCCTACTTCTCTATAACTCCACTGGTCTGATTAGACCACTATCAGCTGGCTATCAGGAGGTTCTCCGCCCTGAGAAGGTCAGTCGGAGGAAAACGTCCTCCTTTAAGCTACCTGTGACCTTTGCTTTCAGGGCCAAAGTCTCGCATAGCTGTGTGTGTATGCTTGTACTTAAAAATAACTGTTTAATTGTTTAATGAAATGCCAGTTTCACACACATACACACACACACACACACACACACACACACGTACACACACACACACACACACACACACACACACACACACACACACACACACACACACACACACACACACACACACACACACACACACACACACATGCAAAACACACTCTTTGTTTTCTTCTTTTGTAAATGAAATCAATAGACACAGAGATCCCACCATTTTCTGTCACCGCACATCTGTTGCAACAAGAAGCAACAAAAGAGCAACTTGTTTTTCTAGCGAGTACAGACAGCCTGACAAATATGTTTACACATGCATGCACAGTCTCAATTAGATGCCAAAACATTAAAAATAACAATTTCAGTGATTTAATTTCAATGTAGGCCTATTTCTGCAGGAGTGTGTGCTGGTGCATTAGTGTGTCAGTCAAGGAGAAAGGAGGGGAAAAAAGACAATGCTCAACACATTTTGAGCTTTTTTCCTCATTCTCTCTCATACATACACACACACACACACACACACACACACACACTGAAGGATACAAGCCTCCTCAGAATACGGCACAGGGGCGGTGCTGCCAGCTGTCATGTAGCTGTAGAAGGACACCTCCAGGGTGTAGCAGTAGGAAGTGTCGTCAAGGAGACCACCAAGGAATCGTCTACCGGTACCGGCTTTCACCACATCACGGTTAAAGGATGTGTTTGACTAAATAGACACATGAAAAGACACACACACACACACACACACACACACACACACACACACACACACACACACACACACACACACACACACACATGTTACTCTGTAATTCATGAACCGAAATACTTGTGATAGTTAACATAAGAAATCATTCAGAGTTGCATAGATCCAACATAATGTTGAAAAGCAAATGCAGCCCATATATAGTGGTTAAAAACCAAATATTTCTGTTATTTTCTATTAATTACACAAAAAAAGGTAGATCCTAACCAAGGGGAAAACTCCTGCCAAAAGTGAAGCGAACCTGGAAATGACAAAAAGCCGCTCGCCTCCTTGAAAAAATTGCCCTCATTCCCTTTTCATCAAATGACCGTGGTTAACAGGAAATCCTCCAGAATGCTGCAGAATCTGTGTCTGCTCTTCTCCTGACTTGTAAGTCTACTGTGAATTAGGGGTTGTATCAACTAGTCAACTAGTCGACTTCACTGCTCTGTAGTAACTTTTAATGCCTTTCATAGACTAGTCGCTGTCACGTGATAATGACCGACAAGATGCAGTCCTCGGAAAAGACAGCAGGTGACGAGCCCCTGCGCGTCGGGAGGCGACGCGGTGTGCCACAACATTGGTATTTGATGCCTGCGGTAAAACGAACATTTGACTGAATTGTGACCTTTTCCCTCTTGCAATTTAACCTTCCCCTCATCCCCATCCTAACCTTAACCAGCTTGCGCATGCAAAGCTCTGATTGTTGACGCGCTCCAGACATCTGCGTCCTGAGCACGGCCACAGTAACATTATCAAATTAGGTGTCGCCACCTCAAAAACAATTTTAACACACAATCGTTCATGTCGGCTCATTTCCTTTTATGTTTTCTGTCTTTTATTTGTGCCTGATGCGTTTTGCTGCTGTGGAGCAGAGTGCATCATCTGTTTTGTCCTCCGATGGCTTTACCTCAACGGTGCGGCCAGTGCGCAGCGTGCACTGCTGTTTTTGCGGTCGGTAGATCTTTTAGAACTGCAGTTCAAAGGTAACTCATAAGGTGAATATATATGAACCCAGGTAGCAGTTTTTCTTTAGGATTGAGAGGAGATGCAGGAAGATAATAAATAGGCAGGACAGAAAAATAGTCAAATAAAAACAAGTTAGTTTTTTTACCTGGTGGTTGCAACAAACAGACACCATTGAAGGTAATCAGAAGAGAGGAACAGAAAATGAAATAATAATTTTAATGTTTAGATCAGCAGCAACTCTGAGAGGCTGCAGGCGCACCAGTGAGTTTGAGGCCACTGTGCAGGGGGAGGGGGGAGGGCTGAAGCAGTGCAGGGGGAGGGGGGAGGGCTGAAGCAGAAGAACAGTAAAGATGCAGAAACTACCCTTGTTAAAAGAGATGTGTTTAACTTTGAAAATGTGGGCACAATTTTAATTGTCAAAAACTCCAGCGAACAAATTCCCCCCCGTGCGTGTTCCGGCATCTGTTTTGCCTTTAGCGAATTTTAGGTTGACGTCAGTATTTGCATTCCAGGAACATTTCATTTACAAATTAAGCACTGGGTGGGGGTGAGGGGAAGGTTAAATAGCAAGAGAGTAAAGGTCACAATTCGGTGAAATCTCCATTTTACCGCGGGCATCAAAAAGCGATGCGCTGTGCCAAAGCGTCGCCTTCCGACGTGCCTCGGAAAAAAACACTTGCTCACTCATCGTCAGTTTTAGCCACTTCAGGTGTATGATGTCATCAACGACTAGTCAAAGTCGACTAGATTTTCATTACTTGACTGTCGACTTAAACTTGTCATGCAGCCCCTACTGTGAGTGTGCACTCGCATGCATGAGCTCGTTAGACTTGCTCCTCGACTGAGAATCTCTGACAGCACACGCAGCAGGGTTGAGGGAGGTGCCGTCTATTACTGCCTCAATGCCGCTCTCTCGGTCCGCCAGGCAGAAGTGTTTTCCTAACAGGAAGTGTGGATGAAATAAGTCTCCACCCATGCATTGACTGCCTAAAAGCTTGAAATTATGAATGATTAGGGTGTGTCACTTTGATTGACAGGTGTCTGATGAGCCATCAGAACTAGTGCTAGCTGCTTGCCTTCCTGCTTACTCCAGGGAAGCCCTCGACCTCCGGTTAACCCTCTCAGGCTCAAAATAAGTTTTGATAAAAGGACAAACTACTAAGTCCTTCAGGGGTACTTCTGAATTAAAAAATGCTCATGAAATACGTATGTGGAGTAACCAGGTAGGTAGGTTTTAACGTTGCAAATCTGCAACGCCTGCCTCCAGAGGGTTAAAAATGGTGCAGCAGAGGGTAACAATCATGCAACAGAAGTTTCCTCGCCAAAAGCAACCGCCAACCTCTGTTTGCTTTAGTTAGCTCAGTTAGCTTGTAGCTATATAGGCTCAGATTTTGATGGGTGTCGATCATCTGCCCCCACCCTCACTGCGCCGTTGGGCTTCAATTCAGCTCTTCAGAAACCTGCAGGTGATTGTGCGGAGGGTTGGTCCATTATATAAACAGTAACTGATCCTAACCTGGTACAAAACCCAATCTTTTTAAAATTTTATGTATGAAAATACAGCTAAGCACTAAAACAAGGACATAACTTTGAAAAAAAAAAGCAGTTATTTTTAGAGAAATAACCATAGAGCTTGAATTAAAAATGACCAATCAGCCATATTTACTCATTTCCCAGCATTCATTGGTGTACTGTAAAGTTTAGTTTATTTTTCTGCATCAGTGAACCAAACTTTGTAGCCCCCTTTCACGGTGTTGAGTCTAATTTGTTCACCACTTTCAGGGTTTCTTTCACTCTCTCTGATTTCGTTGGCATTTTTATCAACAAAAATGCTCTAAAAACCAACTTAATGCCACCTGTCAATCATCCAACACACACATTTAGAGGCAAATTCACAAACACACAGGAACATTTAGCAGTTAATGAGCCATGCATCTGTATGAAGACATTCAGGGAAGAACAACGATGTTACCTCATGTCAGCTGTTTTAATAACAAATTTGCCACATTAAATTAGAGTAGATGTTAATAATACTTTGATCTTTGTTCGTATCGTTCATGCAAACAAAGGAAAAACATCCAACCCTTACACAAAGCAAAAGGTGGATGGAGAGAAAAACATCAAATGTGTTTTGTTAGCAATTTCTCAAAGGTGAAAAATCCGATAATCATAGAATGGTCACATTGATTTGTTTGGGTTATTAAAATATATTTAGAGAAAGAAAAATGTGGTAAGTTAAATGTTGTATGATTAAATATAGCTGATGTGAACACCACAGGCTGATTTTCTATGAAAAATTAGCTTCAGTAATAAATTACTGATATTTTTTACCCCACAAAAAGGAACTGTGGTGTAATTAACTGATCTTATTTAATCAATATAGTGTCAATGTGAAAAATAATTCAGATTTTAGTAGATATTCAAATGGAGTTTGCAAACGACACTGCATAACTTTTGTCTTCATTTCTAGATATGTAAATAAGAAAGGTTGCTCAGAAATAGTGGGTGATATACCAGCTCTAAAACTATAGTGATGAGAAAATATCACATCAATTGTTTAGGATTTTGATTCAGTTTGTGGAAATCCTTAAACGGGCACATTTATATCGTTGTTGCATTTTTTGCAGCTTGGGGTGTCTAATGTAGCATATAATAGTGTATAATGTAGCATACCAAAAGTGCATTCTCTGACCTGCGTTTCTATGTGAAGTAGTCATGTTGTCATGGCCACTAGTTTGTTCTAAGAAAAGCTGGTTTAACACACCATAAGCAAGACACACCACCTTAAATCTGCATGTTCCAACCCACTTCAGCATCACTCATATAACTTATATAACTAACTGCAGAACAACACTAGGCCTAACTGCTGCTAACACTAGCCTGAGCTACTGCTAGCGTCCTTTTTGGACGAGAGGAAAACAACAAAGAAGAAAGCTGGAGCACCATTCCTGCTTCAGTGTGTACTGGGAATAGCCAGCTGTTGAATAAATGGCAGGTGCAGGTGAAACTTGAAAAAATAGGAAATTGTGCATAACTTAATTTATTTCAGTAATAGTAAACCAGACTGAGAGACCATCTAAAGGCTCAGGAACCCTTTGCAGGTGTTTTGGGATTTATTAGCTGATTAGAGTGTGACACTTTGAGTCTAGAATATTTAACCTTTTCACAATATTCTATTGTCTGAGATTTTGAATGTGGGGTTTTCATCGACTGTGAGCCATAATCATCACAATTATAACAAATATTGCTTTGCATGCAATGAGTCTATCTCACACATTAGTTTCACCTTTTAAGTTGAATTATTGAAATAAATATAAAGTGACAAGCTCGGTCATTTGGGAGGGGCTCAGAGTAGACCCGCTGCTCCTCCACATCGAGAGGAGCCAGTTGAGGTGGCTCGGGCATCTGGACAGGATGCCTCGTGGACACCTTGTTGATCAGGTTTTCTGAGCACATCCAACTGGGAGGAGACCTAAAGGAAATCCCAGGACACGCTGGAGGGACTATGTTTTTGGGGTGGCCAGGGAACACCTTGGGATTCCCCTGGAGGAGCTGGCCCAATTGGCTGGGGAGAAGGAAGTCTGAGTCGCTCTGCTTAGGCTTCTGCCCCTGCCACCTGACTCTGGATGGATGGATGGTTACCGAAATATATAAACTTTCACCTTCCTGATTAAACCTCTTCAACTTGACATTCATTTATCCTTTCCTCATCAAGCTGCAAGCTGATACAGCTAGACGGCTCCCTAAGAGCCACACCCACTTTGGACACAAACAAGCATTCCAGCTACTGTTGTGACCTGGAGACATCCCAAGACTGGACGGGTCGTATCGGGGTTTAATCTATGAAATCCTGGTGCCGTGAAGGTCCACCTGACTTCTGACAGTCCGGATCTGCTGGGGGGTATCCGCCTGGGGGTCTCCGGCAGGGTTTGTAGACACAACAGATGCTGTTTTATTAATAATCAACTCTCTAGTTTATAGCAGACAACAAATTCTTTTACACCCAGATTTCACAATTTCAGACACAAAGATTCTGATAAACATCTAACTTACATCACACCACCTACACATCACATCCCAGCACCGCATATCCACTCCATCACATCTCATTATTCATATCTTGTCATGTATAATCATTAGTTTAGTAAAGAATGAAATTCATTTATAACTATATACTTAATTCTGTCTGAATTAATACAAAGTGTGTTTATGGTCCCTGAACAAGTAAAAGTAACTATAATCTTCTGATTAAACACTCAAATATCAATCAGATTGATGTTTCATATTTATATGGAATCATCACATCTTATTGGTCATAATTAATTTGCAGTCGTCACTCGTCACTCTATAAAGTGTGACTGCTACAACAGTTTGAATAACGAAAGCATGAATTACTCCAATCATTCAAGTATTACTGAAGTATAAGCATATTTGCACCATATTCAAATTTTTCAAGCATCACCCATAAACCCTATCTTGTGGTCATGTCCCTCTGGTTTGTCAAAACTCCTGCACTGCACCATGTGCAAATAAACTAAGATTTATTGCAAACAATAAATCTATTTGTAGAATTGCAAAAAAATTGAAAAATACAAAATAAAAATCAGCTTTATTTTGATGTCCAGTGCAGCTGCTTGACTTCTGATGAAATGCTGATAAATCCCTCCACCAGTAGGTATTTGTAGCACTTCCATGCATCTTCCTCTGCATCCCTGTTTATGATGAGGGCATAAAACCATCTATTGCTGCCACTTCTCAGATAATAACCATGAAAACTCAGAGAAGTTAAAGCCCGTGACTCAGCGCATGAACGTATTTATGTGTGTGAGTGTATTTTATCTTGGTGCCACGGTCAGCATTGATTGACGTGTCTCATTA